GCAAACGTAGTACATAGGGCGACATCTAGATGTCATCTACCTCGCCCTATTCACTATGCTTTTTTATAGGAGCTTTTCAAAGCTTTGCTTTATGGTGTCGGACACACAACATTGAAAGTTTCTGGAACACAACATTGCAAGTTGATAAAAGCGTTGTAAAATACGGGTCTCCTTTTCCCGATATTCTTCAGCGCTGGGGGCGGCTGATACAAATTTGACCACCCTAATGTAGATACATGCTTAAGTATATAACAAGTCTAATGAAAAGGTTATACAACGACGACATTACTTTTCTTGCATTTCCGTTTTGGAAGAAGGGAATTTCAAAGGAACTACGAGGAAAGAGATTCAGTTTTGTGGAACTGAATTTGTTTTGAGGCCTTTGTGGCCTTCTTCGAGCGTTTGAACTTTTAACTTTCATACGCTGAGTGAAAACATTTTTAAATAAAGCTGACATAAATTTTACACTCATTATTTAATAAGTTGCAACCGCCAGAGTTCTCAAAATGCACGGTAGAGATCTGCCGGAAAAGCAAAAATCTCGGGCTTTGTACTTTCGGTCCCTGTTTACACCCACAAGATGAGGTTTGTAGGCAAGCTTTCTTTGGTGTTCAGTGTTAGGGACTCGTCATCGGAATATTAATGATCTTTTAATTCGCAATGTCTCTTGTTGTCTGACCCTCTGACTAACTAGCTAGTAGATAATGGAGATAAAAATAACAAATATTACGAGTAATAATAATTTTAAATACATAATAAAAGATAAGAAATATTAAAAAATGAACCTTGTTATCGGTGCTGCGACTCATGCTGAGCGTATTGCTGCTGTTGGTTAATCCACTGCCAGTAATCGGCGGACAAGACTGCCTCTTCATGTCTCTCTTTATAGCCAACTCATACCAAGGTATCACCGGCTTGCTGCGCAACGTCGTTTGGCAGCCTATTTTAAAGTCCAACGGATCTATATACTCTGGCGCCAGTCGATTCAGATCTGCCACAGCATCATCCGCAGATGCATAGATATTTCCAGCAGATTTATTCGCATGCAGCAACGAGTGGTGTTGACGCCCCCCAGCATATACCGAGTAGTAGGCGCCACTCATCATATTCAACATGGATCCCATAGGCGAGGAGTCATACGAGCGATACAATCCTGCACCCATACTTTGCACGCGCATATGCCCCAAGGTATGATAACGCCGATCGACGGCATTCTGCAGCACGGGCATGGCACTGGGCACGGCTGGTATATCATCCTGATCGATGGTGTTAAGGCTGTGACTAGTGTGCGAACGTTCGAGTATTTCGGCGCTAGTGCTGCGCTGTGGCGTTGAGAGCGTTGGCATTTGTAGCTGATACGTGGCGTTGTTAGGGGGCGAGCTTAGTGGTGATTTAGTCGCACTCTGACACGGACTAGTCGGACGTGAGTGTGAAGACTGCGCGGTTGTTGGTACCGTTAGCGTAGGCATGGCATAAATCTTTGGTTTGGCGTAGAGGCTTTCGCGTCGCACAGGCGTAGGTGGCGCGCTCGGCGACAGCGCTGGACGACCGCTGGCATATGTCGGGCTCTCGCTTTCACTGCGATGGTAAGAGCTTGTCATCAAAGTGGACGGACGTGCGCTCTCAATTAGCGATTTGGCGCGACTGTATTGTGAGCTGGTCTGGGAAGTGTTGCTGCGAGTCGAAGAACGACGCATTTTGGAGGGTGTAAAGTCACCTGATGTGCGACCACTGATAATAGAGTAATCCTGCATTTCGAAGGAGTTTTTTGTAGAAATTGGCGAGTAGCAGCGTTCCGAGTCACCATAAGAATGGCGCGTGCTTGTGCTATCCAAGCGTCGTTTCGGACTATCGGGAGCGGTATACAAATAGATGTTCTCCTCCTCGGCAGTGGTGTAGTCTGGTGTTTTCGGTGTGGCGCTGCTCTGCAGCGAATCTAAGGAGAAGCGTGAATTCTTTTTCAAACTGTGATATTCGACAGCAATGCTGCCCGAACCAGTCGAGCCAATGACACTATCGCGACAGCCGCCACCGCCATTGCTGCCGCCGCCACCTGATGAGGAAGACGCATCTGAGAGTGGGCGAAAACCAGTGGCGCGCACATGTGAGCTAGCGTAGAGTGGTTCCAAATCACCGATTGTTGGCGTTTTCACTGCCTTCGCGACTGGACGAGTTGCGTAGATTTCCTCGACCACACTCGGTGTATTTGTGCTGCCGCTGCTATTTGTAGTGCTATTAGCTCTACCCAAGCGCTGAGTATTGTGGCAAATTCCGCTGTTGCCCGAGCAACAAGAACACTGGCTATAATCGCTTTTCAGTGAGAGTGTGCGCCGTCGCTCCACCATGGCTGGCCGACGCATGTCCGTGGAGCTGCTGCTGACCTTCGCATCGGCAGCGTTGAGTTCTGCTTCCAATTCAGCGGCACGTATTGAATGAGCACGATAGAGGCCACGCGAACGTATGGTGGCATAGCCATCGTAGAGTGGTGTAGCGGCTGGAGAGGGCGGTGGACGCGTTGTGGCGGACATGTCGCTACTAACAATTTTGCACTTTCGCGAGTTGATCAAATGCGACACATTGTCGCCACAACTGTTGCAGTGGTCGTGCCCTCCGTTGTCGTTGTCGTTGTCGTCGTCGTCGAAGTCGCCGTAATACTCGTAATTACCACTGTCACATTTTCTTTCTTTCGAACGTTTTGTCGTTTTGAGTTTTTCAATTTTCTTTTGCAGCTTCAGTTTAACGGCTTTGAATGATGATTAATTGCAGCTGTATTTGAAATAGGAAAACAAATTATGATTTGTAATCATTGCAGCGCGGCGGTCGGTCGGCCTGCGTTTTATTTGGTAGGCGGCGGGCGACGACCAACGCGCTGCAATGAGCGACCAGCGGAGTTGAAGTGCTGCTGATGGCATCGGCGCGCTGTCGGTGATACTGGTGGTCCAGTTTAAGTGAGTGGTGCAGAGTTCATTATTATGCGCTTAGTTTTATTATTTGTAATTTTTCTCTTCAGTTAATATGCACATCAATCATTTTGATATTATTAATTGGTTTCATAAAAGCAAATAAGTGTTGGTAAATTGTGAAGCATTGACTGAAGATTTATGTAAAGGAAAAGTAGGAAGTGGGATGCAGTTCATTGCGCTTGATGAGTTGTGGGCAGTGATTAAAGAGCACTAAGTGACGTGGCATATTTTAGCATTTATACGAGTAGGAAAAAAGTTCTTTACAGTAAGAAAAAAGTAATTCATGTAATTTATCTTGCGTCTCGATGCATGAAAAATTGAGGAATGGAGCTTTCAAAAACATGAATTCCTCTTTCCTACAAATTCTTGCAATATGTACTTGATTTTATTCAATCGATCACTTTTCTATAATTTCAATTTTTTCGAAATTACTTTAATTTAATTTTTTTCCTTAATTTAATTTGTCGACCGTAAGAGAGAGCAAATCTAAGCCTCTTAAAGCCTTCTCCGATATTTTTTTTCGGGTTTAAACAAGAAGATTAAAAACAATTTAAATTTAAGAACGACTAAATCGAGCTTGAAAATATCTTTTTGAAGATCACTTATTATTCTATGGATGGTGACTGTTACATAGAGGTTCGCTGGTACCAGACGTTTGATTTGGAATTTCCCATCTTTTGTTCAGCGTCTGTTAGGAAACATAGGATGTTGGACTTCTCCACCTGTTAGTTACAACAACCATTTTGAAGCTGTTGCAAACTTTTCTATTCAGTCAAGCAGCCGCTGTTCTATTCAGAAAATGCTTACATATATACTTTTAAATGACTTTAAACTACTACACAACGCAATGTTTTCAAACCATAAGAAGCTTTCTCAATTAGAGTTAAAATTCCAAAACTCGCACGCCTAATTAGAGCACTAATATGTACACAAATGCTATAATTCGAAGTTTAAGTAAATCTTACTTTTTCTTCGACTAGTATCTGTAGCCAGGTGGTTAGATGTGCGCTATGCCACTGCACAGGACTTGGGTTCGATCTCTGATCCGAGCAATATCTAAAATTAAAAAAGGGATTTCTCTAACAGCGGTCGCCACTCGGCAGGCAATGGCAAACCTTCGAGTATATTTCTGCCTTGAAAAACAGCTTCTCATAAAAATGCAATCGCCGTTCGGAGTCGGCGTAAAACTGTAGGTTCCTCCGCTTTGTGTGACAACATCAAGGCGCACTCCACAAATCGGAGGAGAAGCTCGGCCAAACACTAACATATGTGTAAGCGCCAATCTATTATTATTATTATAACTAATATCTTGCAGTGTATGCTTGAGTGTTAGAAGAAAGTACGTAGTTTTAGTGCTGGAAATCATACAGGAATTCCAGCTTTGACGCTTCATGATTTCTAAATTAACAGGGCAATTCTGGCTACGATAGTAAAACGTCTTTCGTAAGACAAATGAAAGACAGATGACAAGATATTTCGAAAGAGTTTTGTTATTCTAGCATAAAAGTCTTAGAAAAAACGCTCTCTAATTCACCACGCGTGGTGAAGAGCTATTTTGAGAGAAATCAATATCATTTAGCTCGCGTCGCTCCAACAGTCGCAAAGACCGAGTATCGGCCAACGGATTTTTTTCCGCTATTTTTAATTGAATTTTTTTCTCTAATTAATTTTTTTCTTTTTATTTCATGATTTTATTGTTTTAAAAAGACACAATTTCTTTTTCAATTTTTAGAAAATCATTTTATGTATATTTTTTATTTCGCAGTTCAAATTTCTTTCAATGTTAAGATGTTATTTTTTTTAATTTCAGTTAATTTTTAGGAACTTATATTATTTTTTCTTTTTTCAATTAAATTTTCTTCCCTTTCAGTTTAATTTTCTCTTCATTTTTAAATTTTATCCAAAAAAGGAAAATATTTTTCTATTTTGATTTTATTTTTAAAATCTTATTTTATTTATTAATTTTTTTAATTTAATTTCTTTTCTCTCGTTGATTTCCTTTTATTTTAATTTTTAGATTTTATTGTTTTAAAAAGAAAAATATATTTGTTTGTTTGATTTAGCGTTTAGGGTATTATTTGATTTTTTTGTCTTTTTTTATTTAATTTGCTTTTAATTTTTTGACTATTATACATATATATTTTTTTGAATATAATTTTTAACTACTATTTTCTTCTGTTTCGATTAAATCTTTTTCTTTTTCTGATTTAGTTTTTGCATTTTATTTTTTTAAGAAGACGAAACAATTTATTTTAATTTCTTTTAATTTTGAAATATTTTTTAAATTTATTTTTGCTTTATGTATTTTATATTTTTCTTTTTTTGATTTAATTTATTATTTTTGATTGTTTTAAAATGAGAAATGTATGTTTTTTTTTAAATTTAATTTAAAAAAAACTTATTGCTAAAAGGCGAACAGCACAACGCTAAGGCCTCCTCGTCAGCAGATCTTTGAATCGATGTTATGAAAGACAATAAACGGCTTTCAGGATAGTTGCCAGAAACGACAATTGATTTATAAAAGAGACTTTTGTCTATCGAAAGACTGTGGTGAGTTGAGAGTTAGTTGCCAGAATTGCCCTGTATGTAACGAGATATCGGACGATAAACGTGATGGTAGAAATTCAGAACACTAAGCGCTAATCAAAGTAATTGCCTTCAACTCAAATCATAGGCTGCTTCCGTGAATAAACAAAAGTGTAAAAAGCAAATAGCCATCTTAATACAAAAAAAAATTAAATACATGAATGACCAGAGACTAGAACTAAGCGTTAAGCGTTTATTATTAAAAAATTATTGCTCACCATGACAGCGGTCACGGTGACTTCAAGTGGGAAATGCTTCTAGATTTAGAAAAACATAAAAATGTTTTATGTAAATATATATCTATGTGTGTGTGTAGGTTGTTGATTGCTGCATTTTTTTATGTAAATAAATAAGTATGTACATATGTAAGTACAAACAATTGTATATAGTTATGTAAGTGCCTTCATTGTCTTCCAAGCTTGTCTACTCTACTGCACAATCAGCAAGCAGTGAATGGCTAGAAACAAAACGAGGCGCAATTGCAAAATGAGCAGTGAATTATGAGTAAAAAAAAAACGTAAATATGTACATAGTACGTATATATAAATATAATACAAAAAGCAGTTACAGTAAATGAAAATGACATTAGAAAATTGTGTAGTTTATTGCGATTTCCTAGACAACTAACAAAGGCAGTGACAAAGATAAACAATAGACAATAAATGGAGAACACAACAGAATAATAGTGAACTGCTTCTTACGGAGGTACACACATACATATGTATATTAAAAAAAAAAAATTTGAAAACAAAAGGAAATAATGTTAGAAAGACGTTGAGTGATATGAAGTGTCATACCAATACATTCCCAAACGCATTTGCTCTCTTTTATGCCTGTCTGTCGCTCCATGCTTTCTGCAACTGTCAAGTGACAAGCAGTAAATGACACATGCAACATGTGGCCGACCGACCGACCAGAGGAGCTGTGCAGAACTCGCACACATTTCTGTTTTTTTCGAGCTTGTGCTTGTTTTGTTTTGCCTGCAATTTGCAGCAGAAACATGAGACAAGCGCACAAGGAACAGCAACAACAAAAACCATAGAAATTGTAGTAGCTGCAGCAATATGGCAGCAGTCGCTTGAACGAACAGTGGCTGCAGTTAATTTTCAAACAACATGTGTAAAGGTCAACACATGTGTTGTGCGTATAATTCCATGTGGAACATGCAACACCAACAGCAACAACAAACATAACAGCACATGCATGCAGTTATTGTGAAAATAAACGCTGCATATTTGGCATGCAATTGTTGCACTCGTACGCACACTCGATCGTAGTAGTACTAATTCAAGCACACAGCATGACACCGAAGGATAGAGCGACGGAGCGGCAGAGTACAGCACCGTACGAGTGTTAAGTGTGCGGTGTCGACATTTTCAACGGGGATCCATGCAACAGCGGCAGCAGCGGCAGCAGCTAACAAGCGACAACTGTTTTTTCGCCACTGCTAGTCAATGCTTTCAATTTCATTTTGTGTTAAGGAGTGGCTTAGGTACTTCGAAATGTATCTTTGCAGGATTTTTGAAAATCGAACTAAATCTGTGACCAGGAGAGGAAAGCGGCGAAACTTTTTCGATGGCAATGCAGCTGACATGTCATAGAGGATGCCCAAATGTTTGTGTCAAATTTTTTAGGCATACCCACGGGCTGAACTTCGCGAGACTTCACCATGTAACCGCATTTTAATATTTAGAAAAGTTCTATTAGGCAATTTATTTCTGGTAAATGATATCGAATAACAAAAAACATAAACTCGGAGGCTTTGAATATGTAATATTTTTGTTTTTTTTGTGATTTTCTTGGAAAATTAAATATGTAATTAGTCACTCCTGGATGATTTTTATTTTCAAGGTATAATTGAAAAAAAAAAAATGTTTGAGTAATCAGTTCTCTTACATTCCACGATTTAAAAAAAAATCTAAAAATTAATAGTGTTTGAAAATACTTAAAAAAAAAAATAAGAATAAAAAAAATTTCTTGAAAGTTTCATGAAAAATTATGTGAAATTGCAAAGAAAGTAATTAACTTTAAGATCTTGGCAGTACTATTAAAAAATGAAAAAAAACGAAGACATCTCTAGTTTAAAATTTTTCGTCTTCTAAAGTTTTCTTGAAAAACTCAATTTTTAAAAATAACTTTTTTTTTAAATATTTTGCTATAGTGCGTGAGGCAGCCTAATAAACAACCCAAACAACTCCTTGCTTATAAAACAAACAC